TTCGCATTCTCACTAATCTGGTTATAGAGAAATTATTTGTTACTCGGTTTATTTCCCAACAACTGGTAATCAGAGCTTTTGGTTGTGAATTTTGTTAATTTTTTGTGAGGTTACTATTTATTACTATTCACATGAATAGTGAATAGTAAAAAAAATTATCGGCGATACGAATTTGTCGACGGGGGTGTTCTAATACACGGTGGTTCACAAGAATTGTCACAAACGATCCAAACGAAGCCAGATTCGAGTGGGAGCGATGACTGCAGACGAAGAGAAGGTGAAAATTAAGAAGTTCGATGGTGCGGACTTTAGCTTTTGGAAGATGCAAATTGAAGATTTTTTGTACCAGAAAAATCTATATCAACCCCTCCCAGGAAAGCAACCAGAGGGCATGAAGAATGAAGATTGGGCTCTTCTCGACAGACAAGCCCTCAGAGTTATCCGACTGACGTTATCCCGCAATGTTGCTTTCAACATAGCAAAGGAAAAGACCACAACAGATCTTATGGCGGCTCTCTCCAGTATGTATAAGAAGTCATCGGCCTCAAATAAAGTTCATATGATGAGGCGATTATTCAATTTGTGGATGGCGAAAGGGGCATCAATGGCTCAACATCTAAATGAACTCAACACAATCACAACCCAGTTGAGTTCTGTGGAAATTGAATTCGATGATGAAGTTTGAGCTTTAATTCTCTTATCATCTCTACCAGACAGTTGGAATGCTACTGTTACAGAAGTTAGCAGCTCGTCGGGAAATAGTAAATTGAAATTCGACGATGTTCGGGATCTGGTACTGAGCGAAGAAATTCGATAGAGAGAATCGGGTGAAGCATCAACCTCCTCAGCCTTGCACACAGAGTCCAAAGGGAGAAATTCAGAAAGAAATTCAAATCGTGGCAGATCCAAATCCAGAATGGGAAAGAAAGGTTTTACCTGTTATAACTGCGGCAAGAAGAGTCACTTTAAAAGAGATTGTTGAGCACAGAAGAAAAATACCGGCGCACAGGAATCTACCAACGTGACAGAGGAGACAGGTGATGCCATGATTCTAAGCGTTAACAGTCTGATTGAATCATGGATCTTGGATTCAGGGGCATCTTTCCACTCCACCCCATGCCGAGAAATCATGGAGAACTATGTCAGTGGTGATTTTGGGAAGGTTCATCTAGCTGATGATGAAACCTTGAAGATCGTCGGAAAAGGAGACATCCGACTAAAGCTGCCAAACCAGACCACCTGGAAGCTGACAGAAGTGAGACATATTGCTGACCTCAAAAGAAATCTGATTTCTGTAGGACAACTTGATGGACAAGGTTATAGTACAACATTTTCAGGCTGTGAATGGAAGATTACCAAAGGAGCACTCGTCATTGCTCGTGGTAAGAAGATTGGTACTCTCTATGTAACCTCAAACTTAGAAAATATCATTACTACAACAGATGCTGATGGAAAATCAAACCTATGGAACCAAAGGCTTGGTCATATGAGCGAGAAATGGATGAAGACATTTTTGTCAAAAGGGAAGCTGACGGATCTAAAGAATGTAGATGTCAGACTATGCGAGGAATGCATCTTTGGAAAACAAAAGAAAGTCAACTTTGCAAAGATTGGTAAGACACCCAAGGTTGAAAAGTTAGAGTTGGTTCATACTGATGTATGGGGACCATCTCTAGTTCTATCTCTTGCAGGCTCATTATATTATGTCACCTTCATCGATGATTCTACAAGGAAGGTGTGGGTTTATTTTCTGAAGAAGAAATCAGAAGTCTTTGATACCTTCAGAAAATGGAAGGTCATGGTAGAAAACGAGACTGGTTTGAAAGTCAAGCGGTTGAGGTCTGATAATGGAGGAGAGTACAGAAATAGTAGATTCAGAGAATTTTGCGCAAACAATGGGATCAAGATTGAGATAACAGTTCCCATGACACCGCAGCAGAATGGCGTAGCAGAGCGCATGAACAGAACTCTGAATGAATGTGCCAGAAGCATGAGGATATACGCCGGCTTGCCCAAATTGCTATGGGCTGAAGCTATCAACACTGCAGCTTACCTGATCAACCGTGGGCCCTCAGTTCCCTTGGATGGCGGAATACCAGAGGAAGTTTGGAGCAAGAAAGAAATAAACCTTTCACACTTAAGAGTGTTTGGTTGTATTTCTTATGTACACATAGACTCTGCTGAAAGAAGTAAACTTGATGCTAAGTCTAACAAATGTGCCTTTGTTGGTTATGGCGGTGATGAGTTTGGTTATCGGTTTTGGGATTACGAAAATCGAAAGATCATCAGAAGCAGAGATGTCATTTTCAATGAGAATGTGATGTACAAAGACAAGTCAATTGTAGAATCAAGTAGCTCCAATACCGAAGCTAAAATAAAGGAATTTGTTGAGTTTAAGGAGATTTTTGGAAATGATGTTCAGATCAATCCTGAAGTAGTTCAAGAAGAACCACACACACCAGAACTGAGACGCTCCTCCAGAATTCCTAAACCAACCCAACGGTATTCTCCTTCTTTGCACTACTTGTTGTTGACTGACAATGGGGAACCAGAGTGCTATGATGAAGCAATGCAAGTGGAGGATTTATTCAAGTGGAAGTCTTCCATGAAAGATGAGATGGACTCACTTATGTCCAATCAGACATGGGAATTAGCTGAATTACCACCAGACAAGAAAACACACCACAACAAGTGGATTTACAGGATCAAAGAAGAGCACGATGGGAGCAAACGCTACAAAGCGAGATTGGTTGTCAAAGGTTTTCAACAAAAAGAAGGTATTGACTACAATGAAATTTTCTCTCCAGTCGTGAAATTGTCTACAATCAGACTGGTGTTGAAAATTGTAATTGCAGAAAATCTACATCTTGAGTAGTTAGATGTAAAGACAGTTTTCCTTCATGGTGATTTGGAGGAAGAAATCTATATGAAGCAGCCAGAAGGCTTCATAGAGGTAGGCAAGAAAAACTTGGTATGCAGGTTGAAGAAGAGCTTGTATGGTTTAAAACAAGCTCATAGACAGTGGTACAAGAAGTTCGATAGCTTCATGAGTAGTAGTGGTTTTACCAGATGCCAAGCAGATCATTGTTGCTACATCAAGAAGTTCGACAACAACTTCATTATTTTATTATTGTACGTTGATGACATGCTTGTTGTAGGCTCAAACATGCAAGAGATTATACACTTGAAGCAAAAATTGTCGAAACAGTTTGTTATGAAGGATCTGGGAGCTGTAAAGCAGATTCTTGGGATGAGGATCAAGAGAGACACAAAGTCAGGGACTTTGATGTTATCACAGGCTGAGTACATCAACAAAGTACTCTCCATGTTCAACATGCAAGATACTAAACCTGTAAGTACACCTTTAGGTATTCATTTTAGACTCTCCAAAGAACAGTCACCAAAGACGGAGGAAGAACGTGCACACATGGTGAAGGTGTTGTATGCCTCAGTAATTGGAAGTCTGATGTATGTCATGGTTTGTACCAGACCAGATATTGCTCAAGCAGTGGGAGCTGTTAGCAGGTACATGACTAATCTGGGCAAGGTACACTGGGAAGAAGTCAAATGGATCCTCAAATATCTGCGGGGTACCACAAACAAAGCACTTTGTTTCAAATGTTGAGATACGATACTGACAGACTATGTAGATGCTGACTTAGCTGGAAATGTTGACATCAAAAGAAGTACTACAGGGTATGTATATACTCTAGGAGGAATCGTAATGAGTTGGGTTTCTCAACTACAGAAGATAGTTGCTCTCTCCACAACTGAAGCAGAATATGTCGCTGTTACGGAAGCCAGCAAGGAAATGGTTTGGCTCCAAAGTTTCTTGAAAGAGTTAGGCAAGAAACAAGAAAACAATATCTTGTATTGCGATAGTCCAAGTGCTATCCATCTAGCAAAGAATCCGTCTTTTCATTCCAGGATGAAGTACATACAATTAAGATATCATTTTATCCGGTCTCTTCTGGAAGATGGGATTTTGAAGCTTGAAAAGATTAGTGGAGCTCAAAATCCGACAGACATGTTAACAAAGACGGTGACTATGGACAAACTGAAGTTGTGTTCAGCTTCAGTTGGCTTGCTAAAATAACAAGATCAAAATGATGCTGCATTGATCGAGGTGTGAAGACATATTAAAATCGATCTTCAAGTGGGAGATTGTTGAAAATTCAATGCATGAGAGTGGAAATTAAAAGCATATGGGCGGCTGTTTTCTAAATCAACAAGTGGGGCGGCTAAATAATTTTGGTGCATGGGCTGCTAAATTTTTTATTATTTTGTAATAGGGATAATTACAAAATTGAGTCATTGAACTTTAGGGTATTTTTCAAAGATTAGTCCCTAAACTTCAACTATAAATACCCTAGCTCATTTAGCTTCAAAATCATCCCAAATCATTTCTTTCTCCCAATACTAGAGAGTTTCTTGTGAGTAGTGAGTGTTTTGTAAACACCTGTAAATTTTCTCTCTTAGTAAAAGATCTGCAGCAGTCTGGAGACGTAGGCAAAATTGGCTAAACTCCGTTATCAATTTCGGGTATTATTTTTCCGCTTTTATTTCGCATTCTCACTAATCTAGTTATAGAGAAATTACTCGTTACTCGATTTATTTCCCAACAGCGTGTTTGCGAATCAAACAACATATTTTTATTTCCCATTAATGAGATTATAAATGGTAAGAAATATCCCTTTATTTCTATCAAATTTCCCATACCATTTTGAATAGAGTTAATTCTATTATACATTAGATAGATACTCATTTTATCCGAATTTAAAAAAAAAATATTAATTATTACCTACCCTACTTACTATCCATCACTATCCAATATCATAACCTAATCCAACCCATCGAATTATCTTATCCACTACCAATCACACAAAAAAAACCCTAATTCAACCATAAATGAGGGAGACATTCGGTGAACCTGAGGAAAAAAAAGAAAGAGGGAAGAAAAAAACAAGTTTGATTTTTGTTTTCCGTCTCTGGACTGTGTTTTTCTTTTTCTTTATACAATTTTTTTATATTTTGTTGAAATTTCTCTCTTTTGTGTACAAGACTTGCATCTCCGTATTCAACAATGCATGATCTTCCGATCCAATAACTAATGTTGGAGGCAATGGAGAGTTCCTTAAACGGCGGCGGTGGTTTCTCTCAGTTACAGAGTTGCGGAGACAGTAACGAAGAAGAGTTCTCGGTGTTACCATGTCATACCGAAGTGGTTGTCACCGGGAATAACCGTACTAAATTGTTTCTCGTTGTTCTTCATGGCGTGGTCAAGAAGGTTGTCGGACTTGGCGGGTGGCATTGGCTGGTTCTTACTAATGGCATAGAAGTGAAGCTACAAAGCAATGCACTCAGCGTAATTGAAGCACCTACTGGTAATGAAGAGGACGACGATCTTGAATTCGGAAACATGCAGTGTAATGGATCAGACATGGTTAGTTGTTTTCTTTCGAAATTCTCAGCAGTGGAAAAGATATTTTGTTTGCTTGTGTCGTCGAGTACTCGAGCAGTGCTGTGTGTTAGACCTCTCTGCCTCGGATGGTGGTGCTATGCTTATCATCGTTAATGGCTTTTGATCTCTAGATATACTTAATTTTGTGATCAACCATTCAAGCGTATGATTTTGGATGATAATTTATTTGCAGTGAAATGTGGTTGAGCCTGGAACCTAGGATCCTCTGTGTCTTCACTTACTTTTGCTATTTCAAAAAACTTCAATGTTTCATTGCTTTTATCTTTCTATCGGTCCCATCATGCTTTTGCTTTTATCTTTGATATTTATTTGCTAGTTTCGAGTCAAACATGCATGTTCTGTTTTATTTTATTTTGGTCTCTTGTTATATTATTTGTTTGTTTCGAATTGTTCCTTCAATCTTTATTATTTTTATTTAGGTCACTGATTTTGTGTGTTATGATATTTTCCTTAATGTTCGAATTTGGCTACAACATTTATAAATATTTTATTTTAGTCATCTAAGTTTCTGTTTTTGCTATTTTTGTCCTTTAAATTTCTGTTTTCTCTATTTTAGCCTTTTAATTTTCTGTTTTTGCCATTTTAATCCTTTAAGTTCATGTTTTGCTAGATCTCTTATCGAGTAAAAAGATTTTCTTTTAAACAAATAACTCGAAGCAAGTTAATTAATATTCAATAAACGGATCATATTTTAACTTGATATTTGATTCAGGATTTCCACCATTACGATAGCGTATAAGCGACACAACACCAATTTTAGGCGCTTTGGGGTGCTAACCCTTCCCCACTCATAACCGACTCCCAAACCCGTTTTAATCAAATCTTTGGTAAACGTAGACCAACTTTTGTCTTAAAAATGATTTTTCTTAAAATTGTTTTTTAAAAGACGTTTTTAGGTATTCGGCTTACCTAACCCAAAGGCCGATGGTGACTCTTTTCAATTTAATTCAAATTAATCCAAAATCACTCAATTTTCCAAAATAAAAGTCGTAACTGTTTTTAAAATAATATTTAATTGTTTCACCCTAAAAATGGTTACGACACATTCTTAAATTGTAAACCTAGATTTAAATTAATCTCTCAAATTTTAAATATTTAATTTCATCCTCATATTATGATTTTCATTCTAAATTAATTTTTTAATTGTTAGATATTTCAATTTTATCTCCAAACTATGCCATTTATTCTAAGCTGACCCTTAAACTTTTGAACATTTCCATTTCATACTAAACTGTAGGTATATGCTAATTATATCCCTTGTTAATAAAATTGTTAGACATAATTATATTATTATACATTTGAAAAAAATAAAATTAAAGTTAAACTATGACTGAGATTAATTATATATTTGAATGAAATTCAGGATGAAAATGAAAGATTAAAAAATTCAAAGATCAATTTACAATAAAAATCATAATTTTGGAGATGAAATTAGAATATTCAAAAGTTTAAAGACCAACTTTAATAAGTCATAGTTTGAAGATGGAAAATACCTCAAATTTGAGGAGTAATTGAAAATGAGAGTCGTAATTGAGAACAATTGATGCAATTAACCTTTTTCAAATAAATTATGAATCTATGATATAAAATTCCACTTTTACTGTCATCGTTGATTAAGAAGAAAAACAAAGAAACTGTGTATAAACCAAGTTAGAACACAATCATGTAAAAGGTCATGACAAGGAAAAGAAATTTATTGGCAAAAAGAGCTGATGTAGTTGTAGCTTGCATAGAAACAAACCATAAAAGAAAAGACATGCACAGACGTGTTTTGGTTTATTCATGAAACAGATCTTAAAGAAATCTACAACCTCAAACAGGCTCTTCTCCTCTTTTCGCTCCCCACCGTCTACGACGGAGCATGGTCCGAGCTTTCTATTTAAGATGAGTTTTTCAGAACCCATTCCACCAGAGTTGAGATCCCAAATCCAGTTGCTACATATTTCTTATCATTCAAGACAGGGCCAGCCATGTCGATGTGCAGCCACTGCACCTTTTCATCCACAAACTGCAACACCATAGTTCCAACAACGATGAAATTCCGCAACATGGTCTTATCTGAGTGTGAAAACAAATATACAGATGGTAAAAATTCACGTACTTGTTTCAAGAACAGAGCTGCATTGATAGCGCCGCCTTGACGACCACCGGTATTTACCATATCGGCAACGCCTGATTTCATTGACTCCCAATAGCTTTCCTCTAATGGCATCCTCCAAATTTCTCACCACTCACCTCTGAAGCTTCCAATACCTCCTTTGCTAGATCATCACTGGGTGTGAAGACACCTGAAAGAAAAGTTTCCAATGCATTGACGGTGGTGAGATAGTCCATATATGCCCTTTGGGTTCGATTATCGAATAACAACCAATGAAAATGATTAAACACAATGTCCTTTTGAAGAGACTGAATAAGAAAAGCGCTTGAATGTTGAGATTAAAATTGTTACATTAAAGTTTCGATTTGAAACGTTTACAAGGCAAATGCAGAATTTCATTCATGTATGTGTGTTAAACATTAAGATATCCTCTCGTTTCTCCAAACGTGATTGCCATCCAGAAAATGAGCGTATACTTGCTTCCGAAACTAACCAAAGATAAGCTCAGAAAACTATATTCCGGGAATTGTAAAATTCATATGTATACCTGCAATTGAGGGACCAAGAGCAACAACACAAGCTCCAGTTAGCGTGGCCAGATCGACTATCTGCAAAGTTTGTTAACAAGTAGTCAAAAATGTAATTTTGATCCTCTATAGAAAATAAGCAATCCAAAGTATCAGGTTTACGATCCTTATAAAAAATCACAATGCCAAGTGTCTGGCTTTACCTTCTCAACACCTTGGTTGCAAGCATAAACCAGAGCATCAGCTAGCGTAAGCCTACCTTCTGCATCGGTGTTATTAACCTGCAATTCACACAGAGAGAAGAAAGTTATTTATTAAAGACAAGGAAGAAAGTACCCTATTACAAATGTCACAATAACTTAAGTTCATGTATACCTCGATTTTGTTTTCTGGTACTAAAATAAAACACACTATACCTCGATTGTCTTTCCATTTGAAGCTGTGACAATATCTCCTGGCCTCATACCTGTTCCGCTTATCATGTTTTCACAAGACGCAACAATAAAATGAACCTGCATATTTGGAAAATTTTATAAAGTGAGAGACTTGATTCAATGCAGAAATAAGAAAAAGCCAGCAAATATAAACCGATATGAACACGATAAGAAAAGAATACACGTCCTTTCCCCAGCATTGAAATATAATCTTGAAAAAGAGAGCAACCAAATGGATTACCTCTACTCCAGGAGGTTTGATCTGTCCAAGGGCTTTTGCTGCACCAAAAACAGCTGCAGAACCTCCCATGTCCACTTTCATGGTTTCAATCGAGCAACCAGGTCCAGTCTTGATGTTGTAGCCACCACTAAGAACACATAAGACAAGTATTCAAAATCAGAAAAACACAATGCCGGGTATTTCCTACGCTAACTGAATCATAAAATATATTCCTGCTAGAATACGACAATGCAAGTATTTATGAAATTACCTGTCGAAAGTCAATCCTTTTCCAACTAATGCTAACTTGGTTTTAATAGGTCCACTCGAGGGTTTGTAGCACAGATGGATGAAATGAGGAGGATTTGCAGATGCTGCAGCAACTCCAAGATAAGATCCCATCTTCAACTCCCTGCATTGCTCTTCTGTCAAGATGTTTGCAGACAGAACATCGCTGTATGTAGAAGCAATCTTTGAAGCCTCTGCTGCTAGTGCAGCTGCAGGCATGAAAACTCACATTAGTTCAAATTTCCTCATCCTTTTATTGCCCCATTGAAACGATATACTCACTGTTACTAATAAGTTAGAATTCAACCTTCTAATTACACCTTCAGGCATAAAACTAAACAACAATCATCCTCACAAATAACTGCAAAAAGAAAGGATCATCTAAAAGGAAAAAAAGAATACAAGAATAATGCTTGTACGAACCAGGGTAAGCACATTGGCCGGTGAATTCACAAGCTCTCTTCCAAATAGTATAGCATAAGACACAACTTCAGCATACTTGAGCTTCTTCTCAATCTCAGGTCCAGTTCCAAGACCAATAATATCCACAGAATTAAGCTGTGATTTCTTTGACTCGGATTTGTATCTATTATCTTCACATGTTCCCATCACAGTCCCTATCAAAATGCAAACCAATTCAACTAAGATAAACTCCAATCTTCAGAATAAGAACATAGATCATGATACTAAGGAATCAAAAGAGCATTACCAGATGTGATGGCCGAAGCAGTACTGCACTTAGACTCGGTGGAGAGACCTTCGGAAGAGGCAAGGACGACGGCAACACTACTGGCATGAGCAATCTTTGCAGCTGCAGCAACAGCCTCACCAAGCCCACGAAAAGCAGCCGGAGATGAAGCTGATCGTCCAAGGCCAAACAAACCAACCCTTTTGGAGCCAAGACCTGGAAGTCTATGAACCATTGACTGGCCTGTTTTCCCGGTGAAATCCTCCTCGACAGAGGCTTCAGCTAAGAGACCACCCAACAAGCCATCTAATTTTTTCAAAAGTGAGTTCTGAAACTTGGAGTTTTCATCCTTGATCATGTCTTTCTCAGTGACCCCAACTGCAAGTAGGTCCCCTTTCCATTCTACCACATCGATCTCTTTTGCAGCTAAAGAGACCTTTCAAGCATTTTACAAACATTAGACTAACAAAAAAAAGCTAATTTTTCCACCATTAATTTCATAATAATCCCGTTCTCGTCGATCCAATGATATGCACATCAAAATATCAACTTTTGTAAACCCTTATAAAGAATCAATCTATGATCAAAGTTCAATTCCTTAAAAAAAGGAAAAAATACAAATGAATCCCAAACAACTAGCAAAAGAAGATCACTTTTTCGAGGGGAAAAATTTTCAATCTAAAACCCATTAAGTCGATAAAAAAAAAGGGATCTTTACCTTGGGGTGCTCGATGTTTGCCGGCTGAGTAAGGCCAAGAGTGTGTGCCATGATTCGAACACAAAAAGAACAAGCGGGGATAAAAAAAATCTAGGCCCAGATGAAGACTGTAAGTAGCTGAAAATAAAAGATATATGAAAGAGAAAATTGAGAAACCAGATTAAGCTAAGAAACTAAGTATAAACGAAACTTGTCAAAAAGCTAAAGTATTGTAAGCTGACTATGATAATGATCGGTGCATCGACAAATCATCATTTCTATGGGCTTAATA